GTGCTTCGTAAACCCTAAACCCTAAACCCAAACCCCAAACCCCAAACCCCAACCCCCAAACCCTAAATCCTAAACCCTAAACCCAAACCCCAAACCTTAAACCCTCAAAAAAAAAACACAGAACCCCGAGCCCTAAGAAGCCAGGCCAAGAGTCAAAAAAAAAACGCTGCAAACCAGGTTGTAAAACCACCCTTATGGGTTTAGGGTTTAGGGTTTAGGGTTTAAGGTTTAGGGTTTAGGGTTTTGGGTTTAAGGTTTAGGGTTTAGGGTTTAGCGTTTAGGGTTTAGGGGCACTTAAAGCGACTCCCAGAAAGTTGGAACATATGTCTAGGAGGATTAGGGGTTTAGGGTTTAGGGTTTACGGTTTAGGGCTTAGTGCTAGGATCCCTTCTATGTTACCGTAAGGGCATGAGGATAATGCTGTTCCAACTTTCTGGCTCCTACTGTAAATGTAGAACTTGATAGAACCCCAGAGCCACGGTTTAAGGTTTAGGGTTTAGGGTTTACCCCTCATGGAACCCGCATAGGACCCCTTGAACCCATAGAAACCCCGCACAGAACCCTTGTAAATGAAATCATGGAGCTCCCAACAAATCTTCCACCCCCACACCCAAAATCCGTCGAAGACCCTAGAACTAAACCCGAAATCCCTAAAACTCCCAAAACTCCTAAACTCCTAAACCCTAAACCACTAAACCCTAAAACCCCTAAAACCCCTCAAACCCCTCAAACCCCTAAAACCCCTAAAAACCCTCAAACCCCTCAAACCCCTAAAACCCCTAAAACCCCTAAAACCCCTAAACCCCTAAAACCCCGAAAGCCCCTAAAACCCCGCAAACCCCTAAAACCCCTAAAACCCCGAAAACCCCTAAAACCCCTATCAAACCCCTAAAACCCCTAAAACCCCTCAGACCCCTCAAACCCCTAAAACCCCTTAGACCCCTAAGGTCCTTGCGCCCGCCTCGGGCTGCCTCGAAATCTGCCGAGGAAACGAGTCGGTCCTGGCTTCGGTTGCGATACCCTAGGGGTCCATGTACCCAAATAGTATATACTTTGGCCCCAAAGTACCTATATGGGGACTACATTGAGGCCAAAGTATATACTATTTGGGTACATAGACCCTTAGGGATAGAAGGTTCTTGAAACACCGGGGTTTCAGGGGCTTGTAGGGCTTATATAGAGGGTACAGGATTCATCACTTATGCAAGGTTCTTGAAACACCGGGGATTAGGGGGGTAGGGTTTAGGGTTCAGGGTTTGGGGTTTACGGGATAGAAGGACGGCTGTGATATAGTAGAAGCCATAAAGTTGGAACATTATCATCCTCATGGCCTTAAGGAAGAGCATAAGGGATCCTAGCGCAAATCATCCTAAACCCATGTTCCAACTTTCTGGGCTTCGCCTTAGAAGGTTGTTGAGACACCGGGGTTTAGAGGTGGTCATAGAAGAATGTTAGAAATCTGTTTTGGGTTGTAAGGTTTATGAAGTTTGTAGGGCTTTTTGAGGGTTCAGGAGTCATCGCTTATGGAAGGTTTGGGGTTCGGGATCGTGCATGTAAAGGTTTCTGGGGGATCGCACAAAGTGCGTAACGCGTTCGATGGGATTTCTGTCTGAAACGATTGAACCTCCCGCGTCTTCAGGAAGAATGCACGTCAAAGGCCTCAATTGGGTGGTTGTCAAAATTATGGTCCCTTTTTGGGTCCTTATTATAATACGGCACTTATTATTTAGGGTACCCCAAAAGGGGCCCTAATTTTGACAACGGCCCAATTTCTGAATGCCAAGATCAGCACATTCCCGCAGGGCACACTAGCATTCCACGATGACCCAACATCCATTACCGCCAAAGTCTCGATCATTCATCAACCCTAGACCCTAAACCCTCCTTCCTACTGGACTCAAGTTTTGCCAGGCCATAAGCCCTAAACCCTAAACCCTTAACCCTTAAACCCTCAACCTTAACCCTAAACCCTAAACCCTAAAACCCTAAAGCGCCTCCTGATGCCGCTGTCCCTGATCCCAACCTGCTGCTGCAGCTTTTCAGGTACCCCTCTGCTTTTGGAGGGTTGGTGCTCCGAGTGGTAGAGCTTCGGGCCCCAACGATTTCGGGCCTAAGGGTTTGGGGATAAGGGTTTAGGG